TTTTTCGGCACGGAGCTTTGCCGGAAAAAAGCGCCAGTCTAGACGTGGATCTTGTGGAAAATAAAGCCTTTTCCGAAAGATCCCTTATCCAAGATAAGTCTTTATTTTCCGCAAGATCCGCATCTAGACTGGCGCTTTTTTCCGGCAAAGCTCTATGCCGAAAAACGTGGCAGCCATTTTTATGCTAACGAAGCAGGGGAGATTTAAATCCCCGCTTCATTAGCAATTGCGATGCATCTAATTTACATCCCTTTTACGAAAAAGGGATGTAGTCTAGACGTAGTCCTATAGTGATAAGTCTTTATTTTCCGCAAGATCCGCATCTAGACTGGCGCTTTTTTCCGGCAAAGCTCTATGCCGAAAAACGTGGCAGCCATTTTTATGCTAACGAAGCAGGGGAGATTTAAATCCCCGCTTCATTAGCAATTGCGATGCATCTAATTTACATCCCTTTTACGAAAAAGGGATGTAGTCTAGACGTAGTCCTATAGTGTTAAATGAGGAATTACTGTATAGGATGGAGCCATCTGCAGGAATTTCTGGGGGTGCTTTTTTTTGTAAATGTGGACCACAAGGGTGTGAATGCTCCCCCACCCATGGTCCTCCCAGTAAGAATGCTCTCATGGGCTGATTTCTGCCCCACTCCACTAACAGCAAGACCCTGCCCTGGGCTTCACTTCTGGGAAAGGGTGGAAAATCGGCCCCATCCTTCCCCCCAGCTGGCTGGCACGTGCTTTACTTGATGGACCATGGGCCTTCCTCTCCCCCATCTGTATGGACCTGATGTTTCAAACATCCATCTTTGGGTTCCTTTTCCTTTAGGTAGGAACATTCATCTCTTTCTTGTAAATTTTGATCCTCATGCACATATCCCAAATTTTCATGGGCTGCACACTGAAACGTGTCAGTGGTTTTCCAATGTTGGGTTTTCTTTATGTGCCTGGGAATGCCAATCAGTGGAATACATAATGATTTTTTTTTGCTAGCTATATTCCCATAGATACCACTGGATAGATATTAATAGTTAGGCTAGGCAAGTGTGGGGAGTCTGAAGCCTGGAGGTTGGATGTGGCACCCAAGGTCATGCCCCCCCTCAAGCATTGGGGAGCCCACAGGAGAGCTCAAGCTCCCCTGCTGATCCACCACAGAACTGAAGTACACAGTGTATTAGTCTGGACCCATGTAGGCTTTGGTGTGCAAGAGGAATGTGAGGAGTGACTTTCTCCTTCTCAGGGCCCATGTCAGTGAGGTTGGGTTTTGTTGTTGTTTGGTTTTTTGCTTCTCGCTTTTGTGCAGCCCTGACTGATTTGTGTGTGTGGATCAGCAGCCTCCAGCCCTGAAGAGGTTCTCCACCCCTGCGCAGGGGCATACAGTTACTACATATGCTTGTAGAACCATTTGATCTTTGTTTAGGGTCCAGTTACATTTGTACCAATTTCCACCATGCCATTAATTGTGTCTCCCCCTCTGTAACATTTTCCAACAACAGTTTTCTTATTTCCAAAGGCAAATTTCCTTGCATACCTTCCCAGATTATTTGAATGATCAGTTGCTGGTTTATTTCCTGGGCCTTTGTACAGGCCAATGCTAGGGATGCGTTTTCTTATATCGATCCCATAGTTCCTGCTAATAGTAACACATCCTTTTCCCCCTGTGGTTGACATACTGGCAATATTCTAGAAAATAATTGTTGTCCCATATCTAATTTTGATAAGGATGCACTGCACTGACAGGCTTTCCCAACTCTTGTATTTCAGCTGTGCTTGTTTGCCAATATCTCTATGTAAGCGGCATCTAGTATTCCAACTCCTACTGCAGTTCCATACAAAATGGTTTCCAATACACTCCTTGGAGTTCTTTATAGGTTTGTCATAATACCATAATTCTAGCCATGCTGTCCACCCCTTATGGAATGTTTGTACGTATAGGGCACAGTGAGGTGTGATGCTGAGCATATTTAACCCAGTAAGGTCCAGCTCAGTTTGCTTTAGAGATCATATTGGTGATATAATGACTTGCTCTTTGTGATTCAGTTTTATCACGTGGTGCAAATGGCTGTTGTCTTGACTTTTGCAAGGGCTTCCCCCCAGAGCCAGACTAAATCTTCTGGGAACCCTGGGATTGTAGATTTTGTGGAGCTCCTATACTCGGGGGTGGGAACAATATTGAGGGGCTCAGTATGTGGGAGGGAGCTTTATGAGAGGCAGCAATGAGGGTGGGACCAGCTTACTACATTTAAAAAGCAAAGATTTTTTAACAGCGTCTGGGACCCAGATAATCTTCATTCAAGAATATTAAAGGAACTGGCACATGAACTTGCAAGTCCATTAGCAAAAATTTTTAATAAATCTCTAAACTCAGGGGTTGTACCATTTGACTGGAGAATTGCTAATATAGTTCCTATTTTTAAGAAAGGGAAAAAAAGCGACCCCGGGTAACTATAGGCCTGTTAGTTTGACATCTGTAGTATGCAAGATCTTGGAAAAAATTTTGAAGGAGAAAGTTAGAGACATTGAGGCTAATGGCAATTGGGACAAATTACAACATGGTTTTACAAAAGGTAGATCATGCCAAACCAACTTGATATCCTTTTTTGAGAAAGTAACAGATTTTTTAGATAAAGGAAATGCAGTGGATCTAATCTACCTTGACTTTAGTAAGGCATTTGATACAGTACCACATG